GAGGGACTATGTCTCTCGGCTGGCCTGGGAATGCCTTGGGCTCCACCCGGAGGAGCTGGAGGAGGTGTCTGGGGAGAGGGACGTCTGGGTGTCTCTGCTGAGTCTGCTGCCCCCGCGACCCGGTCCCAGATAAGTGGAAGACGACGAGTACGAGTACGATTTCTGTGAATAACTGAGCCCTTCAGCGATGCTCCATTTATATCCAATCACAACATTCACCTGTTTCCAATTAACCTGTTTACCTGAGGAATGTTCCAAACTGGTGTTGTTTGAGCATTCCTAAACTTTCCCAGTCTTTTGCTGCCTCTGTCCCAGCTTTTTTGGAATGTGTTGCAAGCATTAAATTCAAAATAAATGAACATTTGTTTATTCATTAATTTATTTGAATAAAGTTCATCTGTTTGAACATAATAAACAAATAACGCAAAACCACCGTTGTGGTCAAGAGAGAGCTGAGCCGAAACGCGAAGCTCTCGATTTACCGGTTGGTCTACATTCCTACCCTCACCTATGGCCATGAACTTTGGGTCATGACTGAAAGAACGAGATCCCAGATACCAGCGGCTGAAATGAGCTTCCTCCGTAGGGTTGGTGGGCACTCACTTAGAGATAGGGTGAGGAGCTCGGCCATCCAGGAAGGGCTCAGAGTAGAGCCGCAGCTCCTCCACATCGCGAGGAGCCAGTTGAGGTGGCCCAGGCATCTATATTGGATGCCTCCTGGATGCCTTCCATGCACGCCCCAATGGGAGGAGGCCCAGGGGACGGCCCAGGACACGGTGGAGGGACTATGTCTCTCGGCTGGCCTGGGAACACCTTGGGCTCCCCCCGGAGGAGCTGGAGGAGGTGTCTGGGGAGAGGGACGTCTGGGTGTCTCTGCTGAGTCTGCTGCCCCCGTGACCCGGTCCAGGATGAAGCAAAAGACGACGTAGACATTGAAGTGTATTCAGTTGCATTTAGGTTGAACAGGATTAGTAGATCATTGTATTATGTTTTTATTTATGTTTTACACATAGTCCCAACGTCTTTGGAATTGGGCTTGTGTTTATTAAATATAAGAAGCAACCTGGTCACCTTTTCACTTATGCTTACAATGCCTCACAGAGGTATTAATACCACTTGAACATTTTCCATATTCTCTAATCTAATGCAACAATCACAAAGCTCAGTGCTCTTTATTGGGATTTTATCTAATACAGCAAAACAAAGATAGCACATCTCTTGCAGTGGCAGCAGATCTGTAGTGTTTCTGTGCGTTTTTAAATTAACTCTCCATATAAATGTGCTTATGTTTAACTGAATTCAAATCCATTTAGTTTACTTAACTTTTTTGTGGCAGTAGAGGCCTTTATTTTTCAACAGTAGGTAGACAGGAAAGAGGACAAAGTGAGGGGGAGACATTTGGCAAAGGTGGCCAGGTCCGGGACTTGAACCAGTGACAGATGCATTGAGGACTACAGCCTCTGCACATGGTCGCACGCTTAACCCCTACACCACCAGCGCCACACCTAGTTCACTTTATTAATTGCACTTTACAAAAAAAAAGTTAATTCAGTCCAATCTTACAGACAGATTCAAAGTCAATTACATGCATTCATATTTCATCCAGTTTATCAAATAACATGGTGAAATTCAGTTCAGTAATATTCAAATTGGTGAAAAGGTTTTCTAACTTTTCTTTCTGCTCTCGGTGGAGGAGGACGCTTTTTCTCTGTCTCCCGCACCCCTCCCATATCTGCCCTGCTTCAGCTCTGTGTCTTATCCTTTGTGGAACCTCTTTTTGCATATCTTCCAAATTCTTTCAAAATATGGATTTGGTCAGCTGGTCTCTCAATGCAATTGATCAAATTTTCTCGACGAGAAGACAGGGGTCGGGAGAGCCCACTTGCCCGGACGGGACGTTTTTTCTCTGGATACACAATGGACTCCTGGCAGAAGTGGAGGATTGTGTGTCTGTCGATAATGTCAGTCGAGGATGTGGAAGATGTGTATATAATTGGATGTTTGATATCAGGATTTCTGCTTTTTG